GAAGCACTGCCTGGTAGGGGCCGCGACTACGGGGCGGAGATCTGCCTGTGGGGCGGGGCCTGGGCGGAGACTGCCTGTGGGGGCGGGGCTAGGGGCGTGGCGAGGGTGGCCGGCCGGGTGAGGGCAGAATGGGTACAGCTACCAGATTTCCTCTGACCCTGCTGGGAGGACCTACCCCACTAAATGGACAGGACGAGGGCCCACCAGGGGCTCATGAGGTTAATCCAGAGAGGAACCCTGACCAGACCCGGGGCAGGTTGGAGGGGCGGGCGGTGGGGGGGTGGAGATTTCCTGGGAGGAGCCGATATGCAAGGAAAGGTTGGCAGTTAACTAGGGAATGGAGCAGCCAGAGGGAACAGCATGTGCAAAGCGAGCATGTGTAGAAAGCAGGAGTAGGACAGTCTGGGTGGGGAGCGCCAGAAGATGATGGTGGTGATGATCTCACTATGGCAGCTAATTCCAGCTGAGCGCCGGTGTATGTCCACTGGTACTCACTTTATCACTCCCAGCAGTCCTGTGAGGTGGGCACTGTTAGTATTAGGTTGAACACTGGACTGTTTTGACTTACAAAAACCAGCAGTTTTGTGCATTCACTTTAATGTCCCCATTCGACAGATGAGGAAACTGAGGCCCAGTTTCACAGTCAGGAGGAAGAGGCAGAGGCAGGCAGGGAGGTTCCAGAGCCCATGTGCTAATCCTTGTGCGCGTCCTGGTTCTGCTGAGGCTAGAGAGGAAGGGGCAGCAGATTGTGAGGGGCCTGAGGGCCATGCTATGCAGTGGGGAGCCTCAGGCAGTGGGGAGCCATGGAAGGATTTTAAGTAGGAGAGGGAAGGGCTCCGATTTGGGCTAGAAAGCTGGGTCTGGCTGCAGTGGAAACTGGCTTGGTGGGAGACAAGCATGGAGACGAAGAGGCATGCAGGAGAGGATGGTGGGGCCCTGGCAAGGCGGTGGGGACTGAGAGAAGAGGACAGGTCTGAGTTATGTTGAGAAGAATAGACAGGGCTGGTTGCTAGACTGGATGTAGGGGCGAGGAGTGGGAAGAGGGAGACTCCCAGGCACTGCCCATGAGATGGAACCACAGGAGGAGGGGGAGGGAGGTCATGAGCTCAGTCTTGGGTAGGGTGCCAGGGGGACATCCTGGTGCAGTGTCACAGGGCTGGGGGTGCCTGGCAGACTGGTTTTCTCTGGCGGCCACTGTGGCTGGGCCTTTGTTCTTCCCCTGGCTCACCCCTGCCACCAGCCAGGCACCCCTGCCTCTCTTCCCTTCTCCCTCCTCCTTCCAGAGTCACCCAAGAGTTATTGGGCCCGTGAGCCTCCCCCAGGCCCCAGCCACACTCTGCACATTCTCTGTGATTATGATTTTATTAAATTTATTTTTTCATTATAAAAGTAATATTAAAAAAGTAATATAAGCATATTAAGGGAAATTTGGAAAACAGAGAAACTAAGGGAAAAAAGCACTCAAAATCCCCTAGCTCCTTACCCAGCAGCTTAGAGAGCCTTTTGGTCTGTTACCTCCCTTTTTCATCTTTTTGTTTGCTTTTTAATGTGCGTGTGTGTTTTGCTGAGCTTGTGGGAGGGCTGTACCCATGGTTTTAACTTGCTTTCCTACTTGCCATTCTATCATAAACATACAGGGTGTCCCTAAAAACCATATACACTAACAGCTGATAGCTCAACTGATGTTTCTTTCTTTTCAGATTTAACCATTGGAATTAATAATCATTCAAAGTGTGTACATTTTGGGGGGACACGCTAGTATTTAGTGCATTTTTTTATTATAAAGATAATGCGTAGAAAGTTTAGAAATTGAAGATAAAAAGGAGAAAAAGTCCTAGTCCCATTATTGTTAGCATTTCATTGTTTTCTCTATAATTTATTTTATTTTATCCTTTAATCACAGATGTAAAAAATGGAGGAATTCACCAGGTAAAAAAATTCAAGTAATATAAGTAAATAGACAAAGTATGAAGCTCTCCTTTTACCAATACATTCTTTCTCCCTGGAGAGCACCACAATTTACACACAATTTAGTTTGGCGGGTCTCTTCTCGCATGCATTCCTGTGCACTCACACACACATGTTGTCTCTGTATAATACATATGTAGTTCAGGTGTGTGTTTTAAAATAGAGGGGCTCGTACTGTCTGCACATTTTGGCCTTCTCGCTGTGTCACTGGGCGACACCTGTCTTCTTGTCGGGGCTCCCCGTCCTCCACAATGAGGGTGGACGTATCTCTTCATGCAATCCCTACTGAGGACAAACAGCTCGTGTCCAGTTTGTCCAACCACAGTTTTGTACGGAAGGTCCGTGCATACAGCCTTTGTGTTCATGTGCAAATATTTCTTTAGGGCGATTTCTAGAAGTAGAATTGCTTGGTCAAAAGTTACATACATTTAACATTTTAAGGGCTGTTGCCATGCAGTCCTTCATTAATGTTGGTAAGTGCACACTCCAGCTGCATGTGTGCCTGCAACATGCTGGTGCTGGTGCTGGGTATTCTCTCTTTCAGTGCACAGAAAGATAAAAAAAAAAAAAGCGTAGCTTCACCACATGATACCATTTTCATCATTTTGCCTACTTAATCTGTTATTGTAAATGTTTCTGGTCCCTTCATTTTATTTTATTTTTATTTTTTAAATATATTTTTATTGATTTCAGAGAGGAAGGGCGAGGGAGAGAGATAGAAACATCAATGATGAGAGAGAATCATTGATGGGCTGCCTCTTGCACACCCTCTATGAGGGAATGAGCCTGCAACCCGGGCATGTGCCCTGGACCAGAATCAAACCAGGGACCTTCAGTCCGCAGGCCAACGCTCCATCCACTGAGCCAAACCGGCCAGTGCTCTGGTCCCCTCATTTTAAAAAGATTAACTTTTAATATAGAAGTAAAAAAAAAAAGTTTATTGTCAAAGAGTCAGAAAGTATAGTTAAACCCAAAAAAATGTTTTTAAAATTACTTTTAATTCTACCATCCACATCACATTTTGGTATATCTCCTCTTACTTTTCCTATGCATACATATGCCTTTAACATATTTATTTTTATTTTTTGGCTCCGGCTGGGTAGCTTAGTTGGTTAGAGCGTTGTGGGTTTGATCCCCAGTCAGGGCACATACAAGGATCAACCAATGAATGAATAAATAAGTGGAACAACAAATTGATATCTCTCTCTCTCTCAAATCAATCAATAGATTAAACATTTTTTAAGCAAATATAACCTTTTTAAGGGCAGTTATGTTCAGTAGAGGAGATTATCAAAATTCATCGAATCCTTCCATCCCTAATGTTACATATTTGAGTTGCCTCTATTTTTTACTATTATAACTAACACAGTCGTGAACATCTTTGTGTCTCAGTTTTGTTTTTTTCCCTGTGGTTTGAATGATTCCCAAGTGCCTTTTATCTAACTCATTTTAGTTCTTAGGTATCTAAGGCATCTTGCACATACACAAGCTCATTTAGTTACCCCTGGACAGTAATTTACAAAGGGAAGGGGAGGCTCAAAAAGGTGAGTGACCTGCCAAAGTCACACAGCTGGGTGGCCAGGGCTGAGCTGGCCTCTGCAGCTGCCCCTCACCCCTGCCCCCACCCCCGTGTCTTCGCAGGTCTAGGGCTCTCCTCCCGGACCCCGGCTGTGAGCACATCAGAGTCCAGCGCGGGCACGGGCACCAGCACCCCGTCCACACCCACCACCACCAGCCAGAGCCGCCTCATCGCCTCGTCCCCCACCCTCATCTCAGGGATCACCAGCCCCCCCCTCCTGGACTCCATCAAGACAATCCAGGGCCATGGCCTGCTGGGCCCCCCCAAGTCCGAGCGAGGCCGCAAAAAGATCAAGGCGGAGAACCCAGGGGGCCCGCCTGTCCTGGTAGTCCCCTACCCCATCCTGGCCTCGGGCGAGACTGCCAAGGAGGGCAAGACATACAGGTGGGGGTCTCGGCCGGAGGGGGTCCAGGTGGGCTTGGGGCAGAGGCTCTGGTGGAGGGCTGTCCCCAGGAGCACAGCAATGGGGGCTGGAGAGAGGGACCCCAGGGGCTGAGGGAGGCTAAGTCCACTGCACCCACATCCTTTCAGAGGCAGTGAGTGTGGGGCACACAGCCTGGGTCATGGGAGTCTGTTTCCTCCTCCCTTCCACCCTGAACGTTAGAATCACTGGGCCCAAACCAGGGCCTCACTTCTAAAAATTCTAATTTAATTTGTTGGGGGGACCAGGTGTCAGTCTTTCTTGAAAGCTCCCGCAGTGATTCTAAGGTGCAGTCGGTTGAGCGCTCCCCCAGAACTGTGGGTGTGGCTCTGGACCTCTCCTCCCCGTGAGGGGTGAGCCTGCTGCCCAGGCTGCTGGAAAGGGGCCCCCAGGCAGAAGAGCTTTCTCCTCCAGATTGGAGGTTGTCCCGGCCCGAGCCTGCCTCCCACCTCTCCCAGGTGGGCCTGTGCCCCAGACGCCTCACAGGAAAGCTCAGTCCCAGGTGCACGGTCTCATGCAGACGGTCTCCCCTGAGCTGTACAGGCAGGGGGTGCGGGCGTCTTCCCGGTGCGAACCTGCCTCTTGCCCCACAGGTGTAAGGTATGCCCGCTGACCTTCTTCACCAAGTCCGAGATGCAGATCCACTCCAAGTCGCACACAGAGGCCAAGCCCCACAAGTGCCCGCACTGCTCCAAGTCCTTTGCCAATGCCTC